TTTCTTTAGGCTTCTCCACTACAATGGGCATCACTCCCACCTTTGATCCAGCTAGGTTATTTCCAAGAACAAACTGTATTTCTGGAATAGATGCTCTTTCAATTACTCCCACTGTCACTTCCCCAGTCTTGATTGGACTTTCCAGCCTTATCTTACACAGAGCAACGCTAAATCTCTCTCCATTTATTCCACAGATTATCATTCTCTCGGGTAATATTTCAGAAGGAGTGCAAATACTTTGATTTCTTACTGTTAGAAACTGAACAACTCTCAATATTTTAACTTTGTTACCTTCTCCCTCTGTTCTTCCTGAGTAAACCTTACCCACACAGGTGAAGTCTTTGAAGAGATCGAGCACTATCTTACTATCTAGCCTGTGACTAGGTTGTGCACTGTCCTGCAGCACCTCAAATTCTCTTGGGATTTCTTTTACGACCTCAACTAATCCTAGTGGTTTAGCCTCTTCTACCACATCCTTTTTCCCAGTGCCTCTCTTAATCCACCAGCACTGTGACTTTTTGTGTCCCGCTCTATTACAGTGGAAACATCTGAGGCCTTTCATCACTTTTCCACCCTCTTGGGTTTCTTTTTTCACATATGGTAAACTGTTTCCAGTGTGATCTACTTTTTGTCTTTCATTGAACGATCTCCCTTTTTCCCAATTTCTATCCCTCACAGGATGAAATTGTTGTCACGAGCTAGATTTCGATTTATGTACTAATGCGTATTCATCCATCATCTTAGCAGCTTTTCTCGCTGTTTTAGTGAGTTCTTATCACTTCTGGAAGTGAGTTTTTAAACTCATCCAGCAGAAAAATCTGTCTAAGATCCTCATATGTCTTTTCTATCTTTAATGCTCTCATCCATCTATCGAAGTTGCTTTGTTCTTATTTTACATTTCTGAACTGTTGTCTATATGCTTCTGGTACCAATTCATAGACACTCAAAATAGCCTATTTTACTCCTTCATATTCTCTTGACAAAATAAAAACTGAAACAACTGTGGATGCTGTAAATCAGGAACAAAAACAGAAGTTGCTGGAAAAGCTCAGCAGGTCCGGCAGCATCTGTGAAGAAAAAAATCAAAGTTAAAGTTTCGGGTCCAGTGACCCTTCCTCAGAACTTTTCTGAGGTTTGATTTATATTTATATTTATAAACTTTGGCTTCTATTCTCCTGACACCTTCTCTGATAGCACTGCAAACACTTCACTAACCCTACCTACCAACTTGGTCTGAATTGACATTACCTGCATAGTCTCTGGCCAGTTCATCTGTTTAAACAATTTCTCAAAGGAAATGAAAAAGGCTTCTACAACTTCTTCATCAAATTTTGGTAATGCTTTGACATATTTGTATATATCCTTACTAGGTCTTTGGCTACAATGGATTTGCTCATCATCACTCTCCTCCTCACTAAGCCTATCTTCTACTTTCATTTTCACCCTTTTCAATTGACTTTCCTGTTTAATTTGCAACTTCTGAATCTCAAACTCTCTCTCTCTTTCTCCCTTTCTTCTCTCTCTTTTCCCCTTTCTTCTCTCTTTTTTTGTCTTTTCTCTGCTTGTAACCGTAATTCAAACCATTTTAGTTCCTTTTCTTCTCTCTTTTTCCCTTTCTAACTCCAATTGTCTAATTTTCAATTTAATTTTTTCTAACTCCACTGCAGTTGCTTGTTTCTGTTTCTACCTAAATGCTGGACCAACTCCGTTACAGTTTCAGCTTTCTTCTTATCCCTAGTTAACCCAATTCTAGCCTGTTTGCTAAGTCTAAAAGTACATCCTTCCTCTATCTTTCTAAACTTTCCTGGCAAATTTGGGAAGCATCCTCAAACCCCAGAACCTCTTTAGCAATGTAAGAGCCATTTCCCCTACTTTTGATTTAACCAACCACAAGTAACCAAAATTAAACAGGTTTTTCACTTCTCACCAAGTTTTACTTAAAGATCTAGGACACTAATCCCCAAGTCTGTTTAAATCTGTCAAAATCCATTCAGATCTGTTCAGATCCCATACACAAACCAGCCAGATCCCGGACTCGAACCCCCCAATCTGTTATGAAGCAGAGGTCAAAACCTCTGTGATAACTAAAACTGAAACACCCAGAGAAGCTCGCCTCGCCTCGTAATCTGTTAAAGGAAGTGTGAGATGTGGCATAACCTGTCTCTCATAGGCCCCTCAATTCTCCTCAATCCCCCCTCATAGGACAGTCCAACTATCCCAAGAGTCAGTGTGGTGACCCTCTGCTACACTCCATCTATGGCTGGTATATCATTCCTTAAGCAAGGCGACCAGAACTGCACACACTATTCCAAATGTGTCTCACCAGTGTTCTACACACGCTTATTTGCTTCTGTACTCAGATTTTTTTGTGATAAATGTTGCATTTGCTTTCCAAACTGTTGCTGCACCTAGTGATTTATGAACGTGGACATCCAGGACCCTTTGTCCATTAACACTTTCCAATCCCTCACTATTTAATGAATACTTTGCACTTTTGTTCCTCCTACTAAGTTGAATAACCTCATAGTTATCTGCTTTATATTCCATCTATCATTCACCTACCCACTCTCAGTCTAAGTCCCTTTGAAACACTTTTGCATCTTCCTCGGGAGACTTATTCCCACAAAATTTTGTATCATCTGCAAACTTGGAAATATTACAATCAGCCCTTGAATCCAGATATTTTCAAATCAGCTTGTATCAGTGATGTTATTACACACCTCTAGAGGAGATGGGACTTGAACCCAGGTCTCCAAGCTGAGAGGTAGGGATGCTAGCATTGCACCACAAGAGCCCTCAGTCCCAGATCTAAACCTTTGATTTGGATTGTGAACAGCTGGAGCCAAAGAATTAATCCTTGTGGTACCCCATCGCTCACAGCTAGCCAACCTGAGAATGATCTATTTATTCCTAGTCTATTTTCTGCTTGTAAACCATTCCTGAATCCATGCTAGCATATGATTTCTGAAATCCAAATACACCACAAACACTAGCCACCCCTTATTGACTCAGTTAGTAACAGCTCTAAACCTATCTGGCTCTTGAACATGATTTTCCCTTCATAAATCCAAATTGACTCTGTTCTATCAGCCAACTATTTCTAAATATCCAGTAATCACATCTTTTATGCCCAAGCCACAATGACAGAAATGGAAACTCCATCACTAGAAGAATTCAAAATTAATAAGAAGTATTGGAGAGATTGTTGGCATTTAAAATTTACAGCACATGTACCAGATGAGATGTGTCCAAGGATTTTAAGCGAGAGTAGCATTTGTAGGGTCACTAGGCATCGTCTTTGTCTTCCTTGGACTCACAGGAGGCACCAGAAGACTGTAGAATTGTAAACATTATAGCCTTGATCAAAAAAAAATTGTGAGGGTAATCCCAGCAATTACAGACCAGTTGATTTAACTTCAGCGGTATGAGAAATTAGTTAGTAATCACTTGGAAAATGGTGGTTTGATTATGAAGATTCAGCACAGATTTCTAAAGAGGGAAACTTAACTAACTTGGACTTTTTTTTAAAAGGAGGTAACAGAAAGGGTCAATGAGGATAATGGTGTTGATGTGGTATGTGTGGACTTCCAGAAGGCCATACAACAGACAGAGAAAAGTTGTGTCATGGTACAAAATGGGATAATACATTTTTCAGGCTGGAGGGGGTTTGGCATTGGACTCTTGCTTTTTCCTGAGATATACATTGATGATCTGGATCTGTGTGCAGGAAACAAATTTCAAACTTTATGGATGATACTAAACTTGAAAGAATTGTAAATTGGGAGGATGATAATGTGGAATTCCTAAAGGTCATCAGGAAGTTATTGGATTTTGGTGCATAATAGGCAGATGAGGTTCAATGCAGAGAAGTGTGAGGTGCTGAATTTGTCAGAAGAACACAAAGATAATACAAAATAGGGAGTACAATTGTAAAGGGGTGCAGGAAGAGAGGGACCTGGTGTATTTGTGCACAGCTCAGGGAAGGTGGCAGCAAATAAAACATGATGTATTCAGCTTTAATATGGGCCTCGAGTACAAGAGGAAGGAAGTGATGTTGAAATTGTGCAACTCACTTGTTAGACCTCAGTTGGAGTATTGTGTAGAGCTGTGGGTGCCACAATATAGGAAAGATGTGAATGCATTGGAGGGTGCACAAGTGGTTTACAAGAATAGTTCCAGAAGTGAGTTGAGTGAAGAAGTTGGGATTGTTCTTGGAGACAAAATGAGAGGAGATTTGAAAGGGTTTTAGAAAATCAAGAGAAGGTTGAATAGAGCATACAGGGAGAAAGCTGCTCCCCTTGTTAAAAAAGGGAACCACAAGTCAGGGATTTAAAAGTGATGTGCAAATGAGGCAAGAGAGATGCATAAAAAAACTTTCATGGCAAGCAGTTTAGGTATGGAATGTCTTGCCTAGAAATGTGATGGAGGCAAGTTTAACTGAGTTATTCAAGACGGCATCAGAAGATTTGGATGGAAGTGGATACAGGGATAGGGTAAAAGACAGCCATAAGGTGCTAGAACGAGTACAGGTACAATGGGCCACAGCCTTTTTTGTCATAGAAAAGGCAGCAATTCCATCACAAGGTAATAGCTATCCATCACCAATAACCAGAAACCTTTTTGTTCAGAGTTTTTAGAAAAATGGAGACAGACCAAATAATACACTACTACATAGAAGCAATGCTCTAATGCTTACTTCTCTTCAAGAAGTGGGTCAACCAGGGACAGCACTTGTCAGTCTGAAATTTACAGAGAATGCAATCGAAGATTTGGGCATATAATATAGGCTGGCATGGAGTGCTGCACCATGCACAACATTTTTTTGGATGATTGAAGTTCAAATTTTCATGCTTTGACTTCTGAATAGAGCTTTCCCTATTCAAACTTAAAGGTTTGTGTTTTACTAGCTTCATGTCCATGCAACTAATTATAACCATGTACATGTAAAACTGTCTTTTGTAATTGGGAAATAACCTTACATTAATAACTCAACTTGAACATGAATTTTAAAAAACATTTTATTGAAAAGTAACATTTCCATTACAATAAGTACAGTATGCAACTTTTGTCTTTCTACTGAAATATTCAGTAACAAAATATAAAATTCCACCATTCTTGATAGGCGATTCATTTGGCACCACGGAGCCAATTAGTACAAACTATTCAGGCTCAATTTGCCCATTTCTTTTCAAAAACCCCAGAACTTCAGGAGTTCTAGTAGAGGTATATTTAACAGACAAACTAAACACTTGTCTAAAGAATACATTGCAAATGCAAGAACAAAGTAAGGGGCACCAACTTTGCTTGAGGTGCACATGGCAAAATTGAATTCAATGTTGTAGTTACTGGTGCTGGAATGTAATAAAAAAGTAGACAAAAGTAGTCTCAAATAAGAAATTGTAATCTAGTGTCAGGAAGTACAAAAACATTTTCAAAGTATTTAATGTCTGGTCACACTTCAATAAATTCAGGGTAGAACTATTAAAACAGTTTGTTAGTATACCAGTTACTGCTATTATCAATTGAAGTGACCTTGTGCACATTAGCTGGAGTAATAAATGAAATCTCTATCATCACCATAACTCAACCTGGTTGCATCACTTCATCCATTTATTATTTCTCTAATCCATTTTTGAAAGGCTGTTGTCCTTGCATAGACCCCAGGCTGATTAGGTCTTCCACAACCTACTCCAAAGGAAACAATTCCTGCTACCAACCATGCCTGAGAATTTTCATCTTGGCACAATAATGGTCCTCCAGAATCTCCCTAGAATCAAGCCAGTAAACAAGGTTCATTAGATTTAAAATATTGAATGATTGGTCAGTCCAGTTCTAAAGCTAAGATTAGGCAGTTACAGCCACACTGCATTGAGTTACATGTCCTGTAATTTTCAGGCCAGAAGAGATATGAAAAGTGCTGTTATGAAAAATGTAACTAGTTTACTAAAATTGAGATAAAAATATCCTATCTAGCCTACATACATCCAAATCCACATTGATCCAACTCTATGTCAAAGTAACAGATACTGCTTCATCAACACTAACCCATGGGAATGAGTAACAAAAGAAGCATTTGTCTGTTATAATCACATTGTTTTGCCAGTTTGGTGTTCATGTTGTGCACAATCTGACAATGCAGTTTAATCTTTGAGAATTCCTTCTGACTCACGCCACCACCACCCATTAATTGTTCGACCCACAAACAATTGTGCTGCAATCTCAGGAAATCCTTCCAAGATGTTATCTTGCAACACCACATTTTTCTTCTCTTGGGAAGAAAGTACTGTAAATTAGCAGCACTGCTTAGGGAAAAATGTTTCAGTTAAAACATGAATTTATTTAATTGCTTGCACAGGTCCCTGAATAAAACATATCATTCTACCCAGGATCACCAGTTTCCCTGCATGGCAAAGGCAATGTTGGAGAACTGAGACAATGGGAACTTTCAACCCCAGAGCAAGGGAGGGGATGAAGGAATTTAAATTAGCTCATCCTTATCAGTGCAGAACTTAATATTGCTCAAAAGAGACACGTTGCCAAAGATTCAAGTTGAAAAATGCAGATGTACTAAATTTCACATGAGCACAACAATTTATACTAGAGGGGAAAGGGGTGCTGATTGGTTAGCAAGTTGACAGATTGCCTGATAAACCGACTGCTTTTTCCATGCTAATATTTTGGAAAATCAACAGATGTGTGTGCACATGTCTGTGGGGCGGGGGGTGGGCATTGGTATTGGTGGTTTTAGGATGGTTTGACCTGTTGTCAAAAATCTTTAGCAACAGGTCTCTTTTCAGCAGATTGATAGGACAAAAGTATAATGCATCAATTGTAGAGGAAAATGGCTGTTTGCCCCATATTCTTTAATTGGCCATCAACATCTAAAAATTTTACCAAGGCCTGTACAAGAGTGAACAGTCCAATACGGTGTGATCTTTTGGAGTTGAAATTGAAAGGATCAACTTCAGGCACTCCCCTAATCTTCCATCCCTCAATGTCTTTAGCAGTAAACTTCATCACCTAGGCTCTTTATTTTGATTTTGATATTCTTTAAAGGAGAAATGAATGTCCTTTTGATTCAGCCTTTTTAGTGCATTTCTATAGCTCCTTCAAGTTTATGTATGTAGTGTGGCAGTTTTAATACTAGGATGCTCGATGCAAAGTGCTATGTTTAATATTAATTCACAGATAAGAAACAAATACAATTCTGTACCTGGCATGCATCACCACCACCGTCTAGATACCCTGCACAAATCATCTGTGGAGTTATTTGTGGTATGAGTGTTTGGCACTGGCTGTTGTTGAAAACCATCACTTCAGTCTGCAAAAGTTCATTACTAGATGATATTCCTGGCATGGAAAAGAAAAGTTTGTAAGACAAAGTAGTTACTAATATTTAAAACTGAACAACAGATTTAACTAGTAAATCCATTGATTCTCCCCATTACAAATTAGCAGGATTAATACTTAGTCATTTCCTTCCTGCTAAATCTCAAACATCAAAGCACTGGGGCACTCAGGAAGTGGTGTCATTGGGTTAGTCATCCAGAGGCCCAAGTTAATGTTCTTGTGATATGCAAATCCCACCAAAGCAAATGGTGACACTTTTCCACCAATTAATTGCCACTTTTGGTGACTACATTGTTATACCATACCTTCATATCACAATACTCAAGGTTAAGCACTGAGTATACATTGTGATTCTTTAAAAAACGTGACATGTGAGCATCACTGGCAAACCAGATTTGGTTGCCCATCCCCAATTTGTCTTGAATCAAATGGGTTGCTAGGGTCCTTTTGGAGCAGTTAAGAATCAACTGCATTGGAATGTGGAAATGTTTATTAAAAAGAAAACTAGGTTCATAAATTTATGTTCGCTTTGTGTTAACATCCCTACCTAGACTCTAAAACCCTTAATCATATTTCTATATTCCTTTGCTGCTTTATTAAATCCATAGCAATGTCTCTATGCTGAGTGTTTGGCAACACAAATCAGACATTTTATCTGGACAACATTTTCAAGAGAAGCAGGTATGAAAATATTTGGAACTGCAATTCAAACTTGAAGTCAATGAAGATTTTAAATACATACCATTTTCCTCTGTTGTCCCCCATCCGATAATTATACATCTTTGGCCAGAATTGAATGATATTGTGGCTGTGGGTAGACAAACTGGCTGAACAAAATCTGTATATTCAACTGGTCGTTCCAACTCCAACAGAGCAATATCATAATTAAAGGAAGACAGTGTTTTCTGAGGATGAATAATTATTTTCTTAATTGTTCGATGCTGGACTTCATGTTTGTTTAACTGATTTAGGAAACGCAGGCCAAAAACAGCATTCCATATTTCTGGATTATTCCTATAAATTCAAGAATATGGAGAAATGTCACGTGGTCTCAAAATTGAACAGGTCAATGTCAGACTGGGACTGATCAATTAGATAGATGGGAGTCTTTTTAAAAATAAAATGGCATGAGTACTTGACATTTAGGGTTTGTCAGGGTTTTTCCCCATTTATGTACTAGACGCTTCTTCCCACTCCATTCAATAAAAATAAATTTTTAACCAAGAGAAGTAATTATGTACTTATTGTAGCAGTCAACAAATCCATTCAGGTTCTTATTCCAATGCAAACAATATGCATAAACACTCCTGCATTTCCATCAAAACAATTTTATTCCATTTCCTATCTACATGAAGTAGTAAACAATTTAAAAGCCATTTTCTTGGTCAATTATCCATGGATATTATTTGATAGTCATTTGAAATATACTAGGGAAAGTGGAAACTGTTAAATCATTTAAGGAGCAACTGGATCTTACAGCATGAGGTCTAGAACATTTCTGGCCAAATAATAAAGAACCAAACAGCCGTCTTCATAGTTAGTATGATTGAGTCAAACAAGTCACAGAATCTTGACCTGTCTCTCATGGATAAGTGTCTTGAAATGATTGGTCTGAGAAATGAAAAATTGAAACTCCAATAATTTCAGTAATTAAATTCTTGACATATAATCTTTGTAAAGAACATTTTTGAAACTTGAGATTCACAATTAGGCAAAAATGCAGATGCTACTTGTTAGAAAGTTGTGATAAATATTTTAAACAAAAGGATGACATTTAATGCTACATTTCTCAGTATTCATGCACATTTTAAAAGATTGCAATATTATAACATAAGTGATTAAAATTCCATTGTTCCAGGGCTTGAAAAATATAGCAGAAATCATCATGTCCAGTGTCCCTAAGGCAGGGAGCAAAAGGCCTGTGCAGCACTTTGAAAGAATCATCTTAATTAGTTCCACTACAAAACAAATTGAATCCATTTCCACAATCCTTTAAAAGATAGTGCCTTTCAAACTAAAATGCATCATAAAAGCATTGATTCCTCTGACCACAAGCAGTTTATGACAGTTTAAAAAAGAATGTTTTAAAGTAGCAAGGCAAAACAATGCCATGAAAAGGTTGGAATACAGGGCTCTATGATAAATTGCACAAAGTGTGAAGGAGGGGGAAATATGATCATTTGAACTCAAGTTCTACAATTACAAGTTAAAGTACAATCCAAGCTATTCTGCTTACCTTACTGTAAACTAAAGCAGTTACCAATTTTAAAATAAAAGTCTAATTTCACAAGGTCTTTTTGTATTCTTTCAGAGAGGCATCCATGTAAACTATGAATCCAAACTGGGTTATGCTATTGTCATAATTATATAATTCTGGTCTGGTAATGTTTTGTAAATGCATTTAAAAAGGCTAATATGACTAACTGGGAAAGAAGCTTAAAAATATGCCTTAAAAATATTACAAAATTCCTTGACTTCTGATTGAAAGAATGTAAATTGGACAATCACCACAAAAACTAGCAAGGGAGAGAGGGAAAAACAGATATCTTGAAACAGTTAGTAGGCTGATTTAAAGTAACTGGGAACTGCATAACTAGGAACCAGGAATCTGCCATCTCCCTAAATTTGCTGTCCTGGGGGTCCTCCCGTACTAGAAAACATTGTTATCCAACCTCAAGCCACCAAAGCTGCTGGATCTGATGTTAAGTGTTAATCTTTCATTTGGTTATAAAACAGGTGGACCCCAACCCCCACCGATAACTAAAACAAACACCCAAAGAGCCTCATCTCGCCTTATAATCTGTTAAAAGTAGTGTGAAAAGTGGTATAACCTGCCTCTCACCCTCAATCTGTTATAGAGGCGTGTTAAACAAAAACTCCTGAAACTCATTCTATAATCATCAAGTAACAATAGATTTATCCAACTCTAACAGTGAACAAATTAACTGAACTATTAAACTGAACAATTCCCCTCTAACCACTGACTATTTCCAAGTAAAACTAAATTCTAATGCTATGTTGTTCCAATAAATACAAGTCCCGCTTATATGAATCAAAAAAACAGAACTTTGTCTCTCAAAATTACACAGTCAGGTTACATCTTTGGAATGTTGTCTTCTCTGTTGATCTTCTGTCAGGAATATTAACTAAGAGTGCTGTGGTACCTTTAGCTAGAGGATACTTTCTCTAAGAGCTGCGAAAGCTGCTCTCTTAACAGATGGCAGTTTGCTCTGCTGATTTTGCAACTGTCCCAGTCCTTTATACCCTTGATGACATATCAATTTCTTACAACAGGATTGGTCCTACATTGTCAAAAACCAGATTTAAATTTAATTGGTTTTTAGCATCTCAGTGTTTGGTTTAAATTAAGTGGCTAAGTTTGAAAAACCTGTTGTCTTGGTAGAAATGCTGCTTTGCCTGCTAACAGTACAGCCTTTTGATACAAATGTTTCAATTCAGGTGCTCTGTGCACCTGCAAACCCACAGAAATCCTTTTTGAATCTAAGCAGAGGAAAAGCACATCATCTTTTAAAGAGACCGTGTACAGCTTTCCCCATAGCATTTCATAGATGCCAAATTCTAACATCCTGCCTTCTAGTCCACAGGTATAAACCTTGCAATAATTTAACAAAGGAACTCAGTAATGGAGTCCATCAATGTAGCACAGACTCACTTGAGGCCTTCTTAGAAAAACACTTTATTTTATCAGTATTCATTTTAATTTTGATATCTAATCTTGTTAAAATTATTTCTTTAGCCCAAGAAATCAGGAACTTGCAAAACGTTTCTTGCTTGTGTAAGCCAAAAGAACTGATATTCTGCTTTATCTTGTATTTTTAAATAAGTAAAAAATGTAACTACTTGGCTAACATTAAAAAGGAACAGTTTACTGACCCTTGATGGTCAATACAATTCTTAAGACCTTCAACCACACGTGAATGACAAGATACAAGCAAAAATTACATCTACAGCAGACCCGAATTCCTAAACAGTGGATCAATCATTTACCTGCTCTCGACGCAATGTGCAGCAGTCAGAATCCATCTACAGGCCACAAGGGTTGCGCCACAGACATGATTTCTACCCAGCTGCAAACTCACTTGAAATGGCCACTGACCATCCACTGTACCTTTTCCATTTATAATCCTGGTCATTACTGTTTTTTGAAGTCCACAACCTTCCACAAAAAGTGATTAGAATGAATTTTTAATCAGCAAATGTGAATGTGCTACACAGCGGATATGGTTCTATTCATGTCCTACTAACATACTAACTGGTAGAATTGTAGATTATTGCTCTACATTCAGAACAATCTTGGAGGTACACCATCTATCTTGCGTAAATTCTAACTGAAACCACCTTATTGTAATTTTTCAGGTGTGACTTAAACTCAATAGTAAAGTACAAGCCATTGCAAAAAATATTCCAATTGCCCCTTCATTACTTCTGAGAATCTTGAGCTGTTTTCCTCATTATCAATTAATGAAAGCGACTCGTCACTTTCTAAAAGTGCTTTCATTTAATCCCCCAAGTGGACCTTACCCTAACTCAACCTCCCATTTCATGTTTAAATGTCTAATGTATCATTCCAAGAGAATGTGTTCCTTTCGACACATTTTAACAGAAACAGTTGCCACTTACCACAGGCTGCATAATCGGACGTTTTGCAAGCAACATTATCCACACACTTGACTTGGAAGTAAAGGACTGCAAGCAAAATAAGATTTTGTTTTAGAAGTTGAGCAATTGGTTTTAAACAATCCTTTATGTCAACCCTCTAGCAAGTTGCATTAATTTATTCAGAGAATCCATTTATAGGAGATCAAACTGGACAACTGCTATAGTGTTGTCAAGAACCGCAGTTGCTGGAGTCTGAGACAACGCTGTGTATAGCTGGAGGAACACAGCAGGCCAGTCAGCAGACAGGCAGGAAAGTTGACCCCAAGCAGAATAGATTACCAGAGAGTTGCAGTGGGAGATAGATCCACTGAGGTCTTTCTGGAGGGAGGAGGACAACTTCAAGGTGGGCATCCTTTGAAGAGGCTTCAGTGGGGTTATAAATCATTCAGGTGGCCCCTTTCCTGCCCTTCTGATGCTGCCTGGCCTGTGTTCCTCCAGCTGCACACTGTTGTCTCAACTTCCATAGTGTGTTGGACTTTACGGCAAAGAGCAAAGAACACAAAATTAGACATTCATAATTGCTTTGTTCTAATCTAACCAGTAACATGAGAAGTTAGTTTTGTTTTTTCATGCCTTTGCAAAGTATTACTGCAGCCAGAATATTACATTGATTTATTTATAAGATCTTTTCAGGGCACAGGTTAGAAGATTGAGATTAGAAGATGACATTCTGCAAGATTTACAAAGTTTAAGTCCTTTCTAAACTAGAGCAGGAATGGTAGTCAGAAGCTTTGACAGATGTACACAAAACATTCAGAAACAAATTGCTGGAGAAACAACAGGTCTGGCAGCATCTGTGCAGAGAAAACAGAAACAACATGTATAGTTCAGTGACCCTTCTTCAGAACGTTCTTCAGCTTCTTCTGTTCAGAAGGGTCACTGGACTCAAAACGTTGAGTCTGTTTTTATTGATTTCACATTACTAGCATCCCTACCATCACACTTCCTTTGGCCATGACAGACCACAGCTGCAGCCACTGGTTCCCTATTGGGGACAGCGAAGTAGCTACAGCCTCTTTCTTACCTTAAAGCTTTAAGGAGATCTTCAGCAGTAGCCTTCTCCAATTAACTTCACCTCCTACCCCCTCAAGAGACTCCCCGTCATCTTTGGGGAGTGCACTAATCACTAATTTGAAACTGCAGCTGAAGCAAAATAAAAATCCAAAAATCTACCTTCCACCATAACGAAATACTCGATGGAAGTAAGCAGTTTGTAAACGCAAGTGCACCTTAGGAAATTTTAGAATTACAGAAGTCATGATGTTTAGGACAGACAAGCGAAATCAAGTTTCATGTTTACAATCTTCCTCAGAAGTGTTCTGATGAAGGCTACAGTTCCAAAACACTTACAGAAGTCTCCCTCTTATGATGTAGGGTGAACTTCTGTATATACCAACATTTTATAGCTCCTACACTATAAACCGACGTTCAAACAAAAACTGGAGTCTGATTATGTCGCTGTTGTCGCACAGGGGAATTCTACACATTCGCAATTTACTCTTCCAGACTAGATTAGATGTACGGTTATGAAAATTACAATATTTATCTTTATGTTTAAGTTGTAAAAACGCTTCAAATTTTAATTTAATACATGATTAAACATAATCCCGCACCCAGACAGAATAAAAACCATACTCACTCAATACAACGGCAATCAGCACCGCGATCACAACAATGAACATTAAGACTGAAATCGCTGCAAGTATTTTTAAAGTTCTAGTAGTCGGTATCAATGTCTTGACTTTCTCAGCTCGCGGAGCTTCTATATTGGTAATAATCATTTTCGCTGTGAGCAACAAATTCTGAGCGAAGACTCAAATATACTTTTAGGCGTTTTCAGTGTAACTGCTCCTCTCAATAGAGAACAATCCCTGTGGAGGGTAAATAGGTCTTATTTATAAAGCCTGTAATTGCCTCTAGCTGTAGGTCACGTTGTGAAACTTCATGTTGAACGTGGTTTCCGGTTCGGACTTTACCTAAGTTGAAGTTGCAAAGCAGTGTAGCATAAACAGGTTTGATATCGCGAAAGAAATAAAAGCTGGTAGAACAAGTTAGGCTTTTTTTTAAACGAAGTATAATTATGCACAAGAACTCACATTGCCAGCACTTTAAGGGGAAGTATTGTGTGAAAATGAAACGAAACTGCATGTTACGAATTAAAACCGAGAATGTGGTTCGATATTCGATATTATGAGGGGCATAAAACAAATCCATTTTTGTTTCAAGTTATAACAACTTGAACATCAGTAGAGATAGGATTTTTAAAAAAATGCGTAATAAATTTGATTCAGAGATAGTAGGAACTGCAGATGCTGGAGAATCTGAGATAACAAGGTGTAGAGCTGGATGAACACA